TATAAACTAATTCTCTCAATGTAGACTCTCACTCTGCCATTATTATAATTAGAGGCCCCAAACCAGTTCATTTTTGTGTTATAGACTATAGGGTTTTTTCCTTTCCTTTCTTTCTTTCCTTTTTAAACTTTTGTTCCTGAACTATCTGATTAACTACCTCAGTCAGTAGTTATTGCTACTTCCAAAAATTAAAAGGAGGGAATAATATCCTAGTTGAGAGATATCCTGCCAGAGACATAGGATCCTGTGAAATTCTAGCTCAAGTGTTTATCCTGGATTTGTGCATTTTGACCAGGCCTGACTACTGCTGGCTGGATGGTGAATGATGCCATTCCTTCCGGACGGAGGGTCATTCCCTGCTTTTATTTATGTTCCATTTTATTTAGTATGCATCGTGGGCATGGTGCCACTCTGACTTTTAACCCTAATGGAGAGAGCACACAAGTTGACTGGGGACCTCTAGGGAAAATCAAGCTTTAATGACAATTTGAGTGTGAAATCTGGTCTCTGGAAGAAAGGTCACCACATCTGCATAGCCCCTGGAGTCAGGCTTAGAGCCCTGTCTGCCTTCAAATACAGAAGCATTTTCCCGTGTCTTAAGGCTGCTTTAGTGTGAGGTACAAGGAGCACATGACAGAATCAGGGGAACTGAGTGATGTTTGTGCATGTTTGACTGCACTCTGCATCCTAAGAGAAGACTTTGGAGAAGCCAAATCAATACTACAAGCATGTCCTGGACAGCAGCAATGCTGTTTTCATTCTGTTACAATAATGAATTGAAGTCTCCCAACAGCAGGTATAATAAGCACTACTCAACCCTTGATATTCAATCACCTTTAACTGGTTATATCTATCTAAAATTCACTCTCAGCTGTGGTGTTACAATACCCCACTGGCAACCTTTTATGGCTCTCCCTGCACAAAAATGCAAAAACATCAAAAATGCCTCTCAGTGCCATCGACTCTGTGCTTCCCTAGATTTGCTAAAATGTTTTCCATTTTTTATTTAAAGTCCAGTGGAAGGCATTCAGACATTGTGCACAAAATGAAGTGGTTTTGCCTTCAGTTTGAAATTATTTTTGCCATTACCGTTAGCCTAGAGTTCATCTCTTTATCGTTTCTGGTTGTGAAATGATTTTGTGTTATTTAGATCCCCTAAAGCAAGCTAATCTTTTACGAATAAAAATGAAAAGAAACCATTTTTTTTTTTTTCTCACGAGGCTCACTTGTGTTTTTTTGGTACCCGATTCTTTCTTTCTTTCTTTCTTTTTCTTTTTTTTTAAAGATTTGTGAGGTAGTTTTTTGTTTTTTGTTTTTTGTTTTGTTTTTGCTAGGAAATCAGAAGCAGGATAACTAATGCAGCTTACATGCAGTAGAAATGAGCAGGAAATTCTGCCTTATTATATTAACACAAATGTGACAAAAAATTAAGGGCTCATGAAAAATCCTGGTAAAATCCACATCCTGGAGAGAACCCAGGTTTAGAATTTACAGTCTGAAAATAAGTAACTGTGTCTCAACCTATTTTGCCCAACTCTCATTTTATTTACAATTTAATTTTAAAAGCAAAGAATCTGTTGTTTTAGGGTTAATTCAACATCTGAACAAAAGTATCTAGTCTATTGAAACTATGTTACAAGGTCATTGTTAGATTTTAAGATTTCAATTTGGTCAGTTCAGAGTGCTTCATGTAAATGTGATAAATTTGACCAAATATTTTGGCCTAAATATCAGGAAAAAAATCACAATAGTTAAGAAAGATAATAATTGAAGCCATTCTAGAGATAAAATTAATAAATTTCTTAAATCTTAATCTTAAAAATACTAACACATGAGTGGTTTAATAATACAATAATGTATTTTACATATATGTGTGTATAGAATATATATAATATATATATTAGATTTTGTGGATAAGCTTTAAAATAAGAGGTTTTACATTTCTTTATTTGTTGTATACAGAACAGGAGAACTACTTCCCAACAAATAAAAAGCTAAAAGGTTTCATCAAAGCAAGGGTGGTAAAACTAAACTTAGCTTTTATAATAAAAATAGTGTCAAATTCAATTTCCCTTTCTAGTACCGAGTAATTCTGAAATGTTTTGAAGTAGCACCAGGCTGTAGAGTAATGTGATCTGCAAAATATCACCAGTATTTTCAGACATGTGGTAATGATTTTCCTCACACTTAAAAGTGGCCCCAATTCTAACAATAAGCACAGTTGCTTTAGAAAAAAATCTAACTTTGACAGGTTTGCTAGCCATTTTTTTTATTATGTTTAATGAAAGATCACTAACTTCTAATACTTCAAAAGCTTACCCTGTTTTCGAGAGGGAAGGTGCAGTCAGTCATCACTGTAAATCCTTATTGCCTAAGCAAATAGTGGAAACACTAGACCAGTACACTAATGAATTAGGTTACCTATACTTAAGACACTTAGAATTTCAACAATTTTTAATTCTAAAATCGTGGAACTATATAAAGCACTTTATAAGGCATATTATTAAAAAATAATCCTGTTTTCACAATGTGTCCCATATGAAATACAGACTTTTGCTTTATACAAAATTACTCAAAATTAAGAACATACATAGGACTGATAACATAAATTATTCTCTTAAATTATAGAGAAATCTAAATCCCATCAGAATTTGGAATTGCAGCACAATTTATCTCCAAGTGTTATAAAATAGATGAATTTGTACAGTGACATTTGTAGGAGTGAATAAAAAGGATTTGGGAAGAAAGTAATTCAGGTCCAGTACCATGCCCAAATTCTTTAGTTTGTTTTCCTAGAAATGTAACATCATAGGTACTTAATATAATTAATGACCAGAAGCATAAGAAAGTTGTGAAAAATCTTCATTTTGAAGTGACAACTATTTGTCTTTTTGATATACCTCCATCTGAGATGTGAAATTAAATTTACTGAATTCAGCCACTATAGAAAAATGTTTCATAGCTAGAACACAGAAATGATTTAATAAGTTCTATGAAAAGTCAATTTGCATGAGATCAGCACCTAGCCTATAACGGGTGGTAATGGATTGTTGGCTTGATTTTATACCACTTGACATCAGATTACAATACACTGAATAAATGTTAACCTATAATCCCTTTAGTAAAAGCGAGCGTTGTTTGTCTTCCCTTGTAGAGACCACATTGATTTTCTTTTATTGGATGCTCAACCACTGCACCTTAGATTGATTACTTTGAATTAAATGTGCAGAGAACATTTTTATTATTCTAAAACAGCAATCTTAACATTAAGGAGATGCACTTCCTCCTATCCCTTCCATACTACAGAATGTATACTCAGCCATATCATTGAGATTTCTTTAGTTTTCCCATTTTGTTTCAGGGCTGCTGTGATGCTGACCCCTACTCTGCCCCCATGACCCTTGACCCAGACACATCTGACCAGTCAAGGCTCTGGAGGTGGCAAATTAATAGAAGCCCTGCTTGTTAATTGCATAAAAGAAAAGCCAAAGAATTCATCACCTCAGTCATGGCCATTGCTTCCCTTTGACCTCCTTCTCCCACAAGGCTTTTGCTGGTGGTCACATCTGTGGTTTTCCTATAGCCTACATATCTGCCATATAATTATTCAGCATCAAACCTTATTAATCAAATCGATGCTGTGTTTTAAATGGAAATTGCAGGATTAATACAAGCATTCATTTCATCCTGAAAATCTTGATGGCTTTAGCACATGAAATCCAATTGGAATATAAAAGAAGGGATGTAGAGACCTGATTGAATTAGGGGAGGCATGGTGCACATTAAATTACATATGCCAGCAGGGTTCCATGCTTTTATAGTAAAATACTGCTTTGGAGTCTATACGTCATATACCTCTTGTGATTTTCTGTTACTCACTAGCACTCTCAAGATAAGCAAGGATATAAAATGTTTCCATATTCTTAAAGGTGTTTTTCAAGTATCCAATATGTTTCCAATAGAAAAAATAATTTCCTATGACTGTCTCATTGAGTATAAGAGGTTATCGCAAGAAGATACAGCTGAAACTAGGTATATTGGTGTTAGACATCTCTCCCTGTGATGGGGAAGGATAGGTGAATCATAAAAATCATCTCTTAAGAGAACCTTTTTTACCCCAAATATCTTTACATCATAGGTGGTCAATAAAAATTTAATTAACTTTAAAAAAACCTTTTATACAGGGCCTGGGAACTACCCATGTTTATTTTACTGTATTTATTACAGAAAACACTACTGGAGACTGAGACTCAGAAACCAGAGGCACAGCCACACTGTTATTGACAAGTACCACAAAGATATTACAGAACTCAATAGCTTATTCTTTGGGGTTAACCCTGACCTAGTACAAGATTAGCACTAACACATTGATAACCTAAGGAACTAGGCAAAGTATGTCCTTAAATGTTTCACTTTGAAAAATTTGGCACACTCTAGAAATTCTCTTCTCCCTCCGAGGTTTTCTTAGTTCAGTTTTATTTTTGGTCTTTGTGAATAGGAGAGGAGAAGTGAGTGACTTCGTATCAATAGCCCATTTATGGATGTCCCGGATAAGCTGCTGGTCACTCCTTTATATATGAATGTTTGGAAGGAATTTGAATATGATGGGAGAGGGATTATCATAAAAAGGCAAATAGTTGCAAAATAGTAAAAAAAAAATTTTGATTAAGAGGGTTCAGTAAGGGGAAGTGGCTTTGTCTCATCATTACAAGTCAGGCGTTACAGAAGACATTCCTTTCAAAATTTCCTAGGTTTATGTAATTTAAACGTCAGGCTTTCTCTTAACTAAAACAAGTTTGAACTCACTTTTGAGGTTGGATGTAACTCTTTTTATTTTTATTTATTTTTATCTAATGAAACAAAGATCTTTCCACAAAGGCCTCTGATAATCCATAGGTACCATATGTGAAGTAGAAAATCAGGTCACTCCCTCTAGACAAATACAGCTCCCTGGATGTCCAGCTTGGTGAACTTTTGCCTTTATCTAAAACAGAGAAACAGTGCTCGGTTTGGTAGCATATATACTAAAATTGTAACGATACAGAGAAGATTAGCATGGCCCCTGTGTAGGGATGACACACAAATTCGTGAAGTGTTCCATATTTAAAACAAAACAAAACAAGGAAAAAAAAAAAACCAGAGAAACATCTTGCCAGGGTACATGGGGTAGGAGCTAGATTTCATGCCCTCTTACACTTATTGTAAGGTGTGCTTCTACAGTGAACAACCTGTTCTACCATATGTGGCAGACCTGCTTTCTATGAATATCCAAAGCAATATAGCGATCCTTGTTTGCTTTCCACCAGTTGTTTACAGACCAGATTTAGTATTTAGTATTTACTTTTGAGGAATAAATTTGAATTCAAATAAAATTATGTTAGAAACACAATAGGGAGAAAGTTCTGATTAAGAAGAATTTTTCTGTGGAGTACATTTAAAGGCTAATTATCTGCCAGATTCAACTTTGTTTCTCTTAGAGAATGTCAGTGAGTTTCCCCAGACTTGATTTACTTGCGATACAATGCATGAAGAATGCCTTTTTTTTTTTTTTTAAGACTTTTTATTTACTTATTTGAGAGAGAGAGATCATGAGCAGGGTAAGGGTCAGAGGAGAAGAAGACTCCTTGCTGAGCAGAGAGCCTGATGTGGAGCTTGATCCCAGGACCCCAAGATCATGACCTGAGCCAAAGGCAGACGCTTAACCCACTGAGCCAACCAGGTGCCCTGAAGAATGCCTTTGAATGAGCTCTGCTTATGGTAGCTCCTTTTAATCTGCACTGTCATTTTGGAGTAATAACCCAAAGAATAGGGGTCTCTTCCCCTCCTTAAGCACTTTTTAAACATTTTAAGGATCCATGTCTCTAAAACTCTCATCTTAACATAAGAAAAAAGTTAATCAGAAGATGTTTATGGTGGTGTATTTATGAAATTGCACTTGACAATCACGAAAACAAGCTGCTGTAGTATATGTTCTGACACAAATTCTTTCATCTTAATATGTCCCTTGCCAAATTAGATGATTTTACTTACCAAACTTCATACATACTTCATGATTACTTGTAAAAGACAATTAGTTGTAAAATAATTCAGCTCAGCATCCAGACAGAGGGCCTTAATAACGAGTTGATGTACGAATACTGGCAGGTGCTGTCTGTTAGTTAGAAATAAATAGTACCTCAGATCCTTCACTGTAATTACCATCATCCACTATTTATACGTGACCTGGAGTTTGGTTCGTCATGGAATAGACTCCGAGCTGATTGTTTTTCATCAGGCCTCCATTAGGAGCTAAATTAAAATGAAAATCTTCAGGATGAATGAAAGTTTTAATCCAGCACGGTAATATTACTTGCTCTGGGCTTAACTGTGTGTCTCAGTGAACATGGGCGTGTACAAGGATGTGTAAGGGGGTGGGTGTACGAGCAAGTGCTTCCACATTTTAGCGGGTAGGGTTCTGGACAAGATAGATTCTCAAGCCATTGAGCCTATTTTTTTCTTGTCGAGGTTCAGAAAGCCAAATTCTTTAGAGCCAACCCTGAAGTAAACAAAAGCAATAAATCAACTTGGTGGTGTTCTTCATTAATAAAAGGGCAAACATTTTCCTTGTTTTACTAGGAAAGCATTGTTTGCCCACAAATGGCCTATTTTTGTTGATAAGAAGAAGGAAATCTGCTAAGTATATATTTGACGTGTTAGAAGGGTTTTAAAGATAGGTAGATGCAGAAAACTGAAAATTGTACGCTCGGGAGTCTGAGGTCACTTTTTGGGGGCCAATCATGTAAGTGATTCTCTCTGCATGATGGGGGATCTAAACATAGTGTGTCTGACTGAGGATGTGTTCTCTCTTTTTTGAAGGAAGCTTTATTTCCTCTCTCTGTTCCTAGGTTAACCCTAATTATTTGGTGTATCAAAATTAGGATAAGCAGAGTAGATTAAAAATATCTAGTTCATTCATATATATATATATATATATATATATATACACACACACACACACACACACATATATAGGCACATATATATATGTATGTATGTATATATGTGTGTGTATATATATATATATATATGAACTAGATTTTATTATATGTATTTATATATGTCATATAGTTAAGGTGTGCAGAGAATTAGTGCCTGCCCAATGCTATCATGTATGGATTGGAAGAAAGTGAAGACTATTAAGTACTCAATGAGGAAAAAAAAAAAATCTTGAAATTTTTTGGGAGACAGATGTGTAGGAAGGAGGTAGGGTAAGTTTTGGTGGCAAAGGGTATTTAAGTTACTTCTCCTCTCCTCCACCAGAGCATTTTCCACACAGTACAATGAGACACTATGAAACCATATAACAATATTTTGAACGTTTCCTAAAATTGTGCAGTAGTCTAAAAATTCATATTAATATTCCCTTAGGCAAGGAACCTCTAGAGCGGAGGTATACGTCAAATCAATTGAACTCTATTGCTCTAATTATATTGAGCTCACCTGTGATTTGCTTTGTTGTTATAATTATTTGGATCATTTGAGTCCTGAAGAAAGAATACTTCTTTACAACAGGGGCTAGTCTTAGTTGAAGCAAGAACAAAATGTTCAAATCCATTTATGTTGTCAATACATCTTGTTGAAGAAAAAAAAAAATCTTTTAATACTATTTCAAGTTATATAATTTCCACATAAGTATTTTTTTATACTTAGTGCATATATGAAGAAAAAACTTCTCAGCATCCTATAAAAATAGGTCATAAATAACTAGGGAGATAGTTTCAGGAATCTGTATTTAAATCTATACGTAACATATTCTTCCCCCTGTGATGTCAGTTTAAACTGTAAGGATTAAATTATCCAAGTTGTGAAATGATTGGTTTTGTTTGATGTCATTATAATCAGTTTCTAATTTTGATCCACTTCAAACATAGGTGAAAACTGCTTTTCTGTTAACATCTAGACAAGTGTTTCTATATTTTGGCTGAACTATCTCCACACTGTAAAAAGTACTCTTTTACAATATGCAAGGCACATTTCAAGATGATGTCCTTCTCCATGACTAAAGAAAAGACATCTCTTTTTGCCAGTTGCCTTACAAAAAAAGTAAATCCCTTTAACTTGTTAAGGTACTGGCCCGATAAGGAAGTAAATTATTTACATATTATTCATATATATATATATATATATATATATATATATATGTTTGTTATAGTGTGTATATATATATATACACACTATAACAAAATGCCATTAAATAAATAATAGTTAAAGAATAATCTTTTCTTTCTTAACAGTGGAGTACAATGATAATGAAAAGCATGTTCTAAGGACAGCCACACAGATAACAAGCTATAAAACATAGAATAATCCGGTGAAATCATTCTGAAACAAAAAACTGATAAAAGCTAGACATTTTTCAAAGAATGCATTTCCAGATGATGCTTTCTACTTAACAAGAGCCTTTAAAAAATGTAAGTGATAGAGTTGCTCATCTGTACACATTGTTCAAGTCTCAATTAAGTGTGCACTGTGCAAATGTGAACCATGCAAATGGACCCTGACGCTTTACTTTACGAGAAACGAATGACCACAGAAATTGACGAGTACAGAGGGCAAAGTCTTTATTTTAATGTGGGTTTGGAAAACCGGGTCTTAAAAAATTAAGAAACAAAATTAAAGATAAATCCACCTATTCAATAATCTCCTCCGGAAGTCTGCATTTAAAGAAGAGCCTGACATTCTTTAATGAAAGCCCATCATACCAGTAATGCACTCTGTGCTTTTACTGACCAAATCATGCCATAAACTAAAGATTCAGTGCAGGATGATATCCAACCTTGCACCAGCTCCTCAGATAGTCCAGGACATCTCAACAAACACTTGAAATGCTACCAAACCCAAGCCGCCACTTCACATGATTTATGATGTCATTAATGTCAAGCTATCAGTGGACAAGAGTAAAAGAGACAACAGCAAAGCTGACTAAAAACAAATAGTTTTGATTAAACTCAAGGACGTTCAGTACAGCTTTCAGCAAAAAGGCATTCATCATTTCCGAAGCTGACCTTGTGTGTGTTTTTTTTTTTCCCTTCGTTTTTTAAAATCCTAAATGCAAACGTAATGCACATTGGTATTCCTGCAGACTCTGAGCCCCATTTTAGCCGTGTCCAGTCTTTAAGGCAAAATGAATGAAGTAAAAGCTACAGCACCATTTTCGATGGGGCTGGTGGAGTAGTTAATTGACCCTTTTCCTTAAACTCTCCCTTCTCTTCTCCTTTTATTTCCCAGAAGATTTCTGTCACTCACCTTCTAAATCATTTCCAAAGAGTAGGCTCTTCTCCCCTCTCCTGTTTTATATGCCATTTTTTTTTTTTTTACATTCAAAAGAAAGAAGGACTAAAAATTAGATATAACACAGAGGATAAAAATGTATCTGAAGTAAATAAGAGAAGCAAATTATTTTCACAGGAACATTTCTTCCTCAGTTACAAGCCTTGTTTTCTAGAAACATGGTCAGATTATTCCTCGGAGTATTAGCATGCTTATGTCTCTTGTAATAAGCAGGAGTAATGTTCCTTTATCTGACATGGGCTCTATATAGAAGATCCCAATTCTCTTTTGAGCAAGAATTAAAATACAGAAATGTAAAGGAGAAACAAATGATACATCAAAGATATTGTTCTTCGTCAATATCCAATTGGACCGTCACCTTAGGAAATCTTATTTCATGCCCTTGTAAAAGGTGCCATAACTCATTCAAACAACAGGAGGAAACTAATAGTTCAGCCTTTACATGTGTATTTTAAAAAGCTGTCAGTGGCCCTCTTTTTTTTTTTTTTTTTAAGGTAATAGGTTTTCTACTCAAGTACAAATTTTAAACAGTGGTCATCTCCTCCCACACATTTCCGATATCTTTCTGAGGGGCTAGGCTTTAAATTCTTTTATTGCAATCATTCTTATATTTTGTTAACATTGCACACTTCAAAAACATGAAATATTATCAGCAGATATGGCTTTCATGGGCAATAATAGAAATTAAATTACATCTCGGTATCAGAATAAAATTACTTAATTGTGAGATTTCAGTTTTAACCCTACATAAACTTAAATCAATTTTTTAAAAATCAG